AGACTAGAACAAACACTTGTTTGTAATCTTTGACAACAATGCCAATTCTTGAGTTTTATCCTAAGGAAATAATCAGCGATATGAACAGATCTTTTATGTACAAGGATTGACGTCATGGGATAATTTGAAACAGCAAAATAATGGAAATAACCAAAATGAGTAGATATAGGAAGATAAAATACATTATGAGATATACAAATAATCAAGCATTATAAGGACATCAAATCTAGTGTTTCTGAAGAATATATATCATGATAAATGTTTATGATATGTTAAGTGAAAAATAAATGTACAAAACTGCATATAAAAATGTGTAAAAATATGCCTTTTTACTTGAAAAACTATATATAAAATGCCATACCAATGTTATTTACTTAAATATATAATCTATATATGTGTATAAACATATGCATAAAAATATTGCTGGAAATAAAAAGATAGTATTGGTTATAAAAGTTTATTTAAAATCTAAAAAATTTAAAAGTTAAAAAGATTATTACAAAATGGTGCTTCAATTCATCCAGTTGATATAACAATTCTTAACTTATAAGCATCTAATAAAATAGCTTAAAAATGTGTGAAGCAAAATTGATGAATTTGTAAGGAAAAGATTGAAAAATCCATCAACTTACTCAAGATGACCAAAATATAATACAGATAGAGAAGATGTGAATTATACAAAAATCAAACTGTATTGAATATATATAGAAGTCTGAATCCCCAAATTAGAAAATACACAGTCTTCTCAAGTACACAAATTTACAAAAATAGACCATATACTAGTTGATAAAGCACTTGTACTAATAGAATAAAAGGTAAGCTGCAAAGAGACCTCAAAAAGGATGGGTTGAAACAAATATAAAATCTTCTCACAAGTACGTCTCCCAAGGTGAGTGACCAAAGTTGATGCACAGTTAAGCATGATGGATCAGGATGGCTTCTCTTTTTTGTTCATCCATTTAGGACACTGTCCTGGTCTGCATGGTCAAAGATGGGTTACAGACATATCCTTCTTCCATACAAACTGAAGGGAAGTGAGTATAAAGCAGTTCAAGGCCAATGCTCCATCAAGAACCAGACCGTGGAAGAGGCACTGTATCAGTTAGAGTCATACAATAAGCAATCACAGTATCTCTGTAGTTATATCTCTGTAGTATACAACAAGAAGCATTTATCTGACTCAAGCATTGTCGACAGCTGGAGGTGAGTCGATTTGGACTGGGCCCCGCATGGCAGCACTGATTCTCACATCTTTCATCGGACCAGAGGTTAGCTGAGACGTATTCTTCTCAGGCCCATGGCAGAGGTGCAAGCGAGCAAACCCAAAGGTGCAAGCACATCTCAATCCTCTGTTGTGTCAGATTTCTTAAGTTCTCACTGGCCAAGACAAGCACACGACAAAGCTCTCCATCAATGATCAAGGAGCTGGTATAATTCCGACAGAGCCACACCAAGTAAGTGCATATTCTGCTGGCAAAATTTAGTGTCATGGTCACACCTAGGTGTAAAGCAGGCTGAGAAATATAGTGTCTAACTATACATCTAGCTATATCATAAAAAATATAGAATAAATACATTTTGGTGAAAAACTAGCAATCTCTGCTATAGCAACTCCCAACATTTTTCAAGAACTGCTTTCAAACAGACATGTGTTCTGACCATGGTTTATTTCAACTAGAAATATATAATAACCAAAAAAAGAAAAAAAAAGATAACCTAAAACCAATGGATATTTATCATTGAAAATATCCTCTAAATAAACCATGGGACAAAGAAGAAATCATAATGGAAATCTTAAAATACTTAAAAACTGAACAAAAGTTAAAATGCTATATGGAAGCACCTGCAGGATGCAGTTAAAACATATTTAACTTCATATACTACTTCGGAATTTTATAATACAAAATACTTAGAATAGTAGCAAGGCCAAAAATTAATGAGCTATGTATCCAACAAAAGAAGTGGAAAAAGAAGCAAAGAATAAGCCCAAAGTGTGTTAACAGAAGGAGATCATAACAGTGAAAGCACAAAGTAATGAAAGAAAAAATGACATATAATAGAGGATCATAAAATTCAAAAGTTGGATCTTCAAAAATATCAATAAAATTCACATATCTCCAGGAAGACAGATAAGAGATGGGGGAAAGGGGTGTGAGGAGGGAACTCTAAGAAGGGAGGGAGAGAAATAGATATCACAAATAAAAAGAGAATATAATTTTGGATCCATTAGAGATTTAAAAGAAAAAAATATGACAAATACTTTCATGTTGGTAAATTTGAAACTTAGACAAAATGGTTATATTCATGTAGATATATTACTTTATGACTTACCAAAATTGATTCGAGAAGAAATAATCTCTATAGTTCTATTATATGAAAAAAATCTGAATCCGTACTATAAAATCTTCCTATAAATACACAACAACTCCTATTAATTTTAAATAAGACTTCTACCATACATTTAAAGAACAGGTCTTCCATAACATAAAAACTCTTCCAAAGAAGACACAAAGGGGGACTATTCCTCAACTCATTCAATGACACCAAAATTATAAAAAGACAGTGACTAAAAAGAGAAATTAAAGGCTAATTTTATTCATAAAATAGAAGTATCATAAGAAAAAACAGTGAACTGGATCCAGTGTTATACAAACGAGACAACACATGATGAATAAGTTAGTTTTAGCCCAAGAATAGAAAAGCATGTTTACATTAGAAAATCCATTAAGTCATTTGCCAAATTAAAATATTAACAGAGAAAATCATCTCAGAAACAGAAAATTCAATATTCATTGTTCATAGATGATATTATTGACAAGAAAAATCCAAAAAGAACTACTAACTATTGAAATAGAGAGTTTAGCAAGGTCACTGTATTTAAGATCAACGTAGAGCAACTAATTTCATATCTATATAACAGTAACTAACAGATCACATATCTTTTTCATCTATGCATTCACTTATATACAAATATTTATGGCATACTTACTATTTGCCAGTCATGTTTCTGGCACTGAGACGACAGCAATGAATAAAACAGATAAATATCCCTGCCCTCGTGGAGCTTACATTCTAGTGGGGAAGAGACACAACAAACAAGTTAATTAGTTCAACACAGCCGTGCAGGAGAAAGACATGTAAGATGTAAAGAAAGACAACAAAGCAGGCGAGAGGCCAAGGAAGGATCAGGGAACGAGGGGCAGCGTTAAAATTTAGATCAAGCGGCTCTGGAAGGCATCTCTAAAAGGAGACATTTGAGTCAAGCTGTAAAGGAAGCGAGGGGAGGAGACATTAGCATATCTGCGGGAAGACAACTCAGGCAGAGGAAACCTCAAGTGCAAAAGCCTGAAAGCAGGGCCGTGCCTGGAGCGTTCAACAAACATGAAGGAGGCTGACGTGGCTCCAGCTGAGTAAAAGATGGGAGAGTAGCAAGAGATGAGGTCAGAGAGGTGAAAACGGGCCAGGGCCTCAGAGGCTATAATGACTTTCTCTGTAACTCTGAGCAAGTTAGGAAACCACTGCAAAGTTTTCAACAGAGAAATGTTATAGACAGACTTATGTTTCAAGAGGATCACTCTGGATGCTGTGTTCAAATGAGACTGAAGGAAAACAAAAGACACAAGCAGAGAGACCAGTTAGGAGGCTACTGCAATATTCCAAGCAAGAAATGGCGGGAAAAAAAAAATAAACAGAATCAATGGTGATAGTGGTAAGAAAAGATGGAAGTGTGGATATTTCAAAGATAAAACCAAAATAAATTCTTCTCACATCTGATGTGAAATGTGTAAGTGAGAAATGACTCAAAGATAACTCCAGAATTTTCTGGCTAAGTAACAGGAAGGATGGAGTTTCCATTAACTCAGATGGAGAAAATTGCAGGAGATAGAGCTTTAGTGGCGAATCCATACCCAACTGCAGGCATCAAGCATACAGCTGGATATATAAAACTAGAGATCAAGGAGGGATGTCAGCTGAAGATGTAAATTAAGGAGTCATTAACATATAAGTGATTGAAAGTCATGGGACTGGATGAGATCACCTAGGGAGTGAAGACAGCAGAAAGAAGAGGCCCCAGAATTGAGCTCTACAACATCTCAATGTGCAGAAGTTGGGGAGATAAAGAGCAAACAGCAAAAGAAATGAAAAATAGTGGCAGTTATTGGCAATAACAAGGCCTACGAAGTGACCAGACCATGGGTGGCTGAGAAGGATGGAGAACAGGGTCACTACAGGAGAGGCTGTCAAGGAACTAACTAAAAAGTCCAGACTGTTAGAAGGACCATGTATGTGAATATTTAAATAACAAAGAATTGTAGGAGAAATCCATTTTAAGAAAGTGACAATGTCACAGGGATTAATTTTTTAAATTTACCAAAAAATGATCTGAGAAGAAGAATCCATAATACAAAGTTATAGTGAGTGGGATAATTAGATGATATGAGATTCAAGGCAGGGTACACTCACGAAGGAGGGCAGGAGAAGGTGCTGAAAACAGCCATGAGAAGCTAAGGGACATTTATGTCACCTTCAGGTCCAAGGCCATGGCTGAGAGGGAAGTAGAGAGCACAGTTACCCCTAAGAGTGCTGTAGGGCTGGTGTGCTGGACTATCTCAGGAGAGGTGACTGTGGACATCACTCCCAACCTCACATTTAGTGAAGTAATAGGGTAGTTTGAGTGGCTATGGTGTATTTATAGCAGAGAAACTGGAAAACACGACAAAACACTAAAATCAAGGCTTTTTTTTTTCCTAAAGTGTTGATTGTTAAACATTTACCAGACCCCCCCACTGGCTGCAGGAGAAACTATAACTAGGGAAAAGCTAGATTTCCATTCACAGAAGGTGAAGGGAACATTCATAGAAGTTGAAAATATAGAGGATCTTGCTGATCAATGATTTTGAGTTCCAGAGAGTCAGAGAAAAAGTTTCGGAAGCCACGAAAGGGAAAGGAGAGATTGGATCAGAAAAAGTGATACAATGAACGCTGGGAGGATTAGAGTTCTGGAATAAATGATGAACTGGGACTCCTGGGCTCCTTCCGAAGAGTAAAAAGGACACGGATAAAGGGATGGGTGTTGAAGAAAGAGAGGATTTGGGGAGGACAGGCCAGGAACATGTGTTGCTCAGAGGTTCCCATTTGGCTCCTGCTGACAGATGCATGATATCCTGTAGATGGGCGGTCTTATTCTGAGTGCCTGGGCACTCTGTTGTCTCCTGCCAACGGTGTCCTGCAGAGGTGTGGCCTCATTCCAAGTTTGAGAGTTCCCTCTCCACTCCTGCTGATAGAGGAGCGGAGTTGGACAAAGGGCTGATCTTGCACTGAGCTCATAGGCTCCCTCTTGATTTCCGTTGAAGGAGGCCTCAAAGCCAACAAAGGGACAGGTTATTTAACTACTTGTAACTATTATTTATAATAGCAAAAATTATAAGGTACTTAGAATTACATTTAACAAACATGTACAAGATCTATATGGAGAAAAGTATAAAAATGTTATTGAAAGACATTAAAGAAAATCTAAATATACAGGTAGATAATCCATGTTCATTCATGCATTGAAACACTCAATATCATAAAGATGCCAGTTATCTCTACATTGATCTATAAAACTAAAGCTATTCCAATAAAAGTCCCAAGAAAAAAATTTTTTAGCAATTTGGAAAGCTTATTTTAAAATTTATAGCAAATTACAGAATAGCTAAGACACTTCCAAAGATTAAGAATAAGGTTGAGGGAATTGCCCTAAGATATATCCAAACATTAAAAACCATAATAATTAAAAAGTATGGTACTGCCATAGGAGTCAACAAACTCACCAATGGAACAGAAAAGAAAGTCCAAAAGCAAACCCATGTATACACGGAAACTGGTTAAATGATAGAGCTGGTACTGCAGACCATTGGGAAAAAGAAGAATCATATAACAAATTGTGCTGGGACAAGAAATTATCTGAATGAAACCAAGTGAAATTGGATTCTTATTACACTCTACATTAAAAAAAAATTGATTTCAAGGTAATTAAATATTTAAAATTGGAAACCAAAACTTTATGAAGAGACGTCCAGTCTAGACAAGATGGTGTAGACTATGTCTCCTCCTGCTCTTTCTTGCTATGTGCAACTATAAACCCTGTAAATAATGCAAGACACAACTAAAGTGGAAATACGAAAAGTGGAAAGAGGACGGTAAACTGGTTAGCGACGCCAGGATTAGAGGAATAGCATAATGGCAGGGTATTTTAACACCTCCTACCCAACAGACTAAGGTGACCCAGGTCGGCCCATAACCTAGCAACAAAAGGTAATGCATTCTCTGACCATAATTAAATCAAACGGGAAATAAAATTAAATCAAACAAAAAGACAACAGGAAAATCTCTTAAACGTGTGGAAATTAAGCAACACGCTTCTAAATAATCCGTAAGTCAAAGAGGAATTCTCAAAGCAAACAAAAATATATAGAATTGAATGAAAATTAAGTACAACATATCAAAATACATGAGATGTCACTAAGGCAGTGTTGAGAGGGAAATTTATAGCACTATCTGCTTACATTACGAAAGAGGAATCATCTTGAATCACCAATCTAAGCTTCTGCCTCAAGAAAGTAGAAAAGGAAGAACACAAGAAACCCAAAGCTAGAAGAAGAAAGGAAATAATAAAGAGGAAAGCAGGAATCACTGAAACAGAAAATAGGAAAACAATTCAGAAAATCATGAAACAAAAAGCTAGTTTTTTAAAAAAAATTCTGTAAAATTGGTAAACCTCTATATAGTAAGACTGACAAAAATAAAAAATATTTGTGCCTTCTCCAGGCACAAATAATAAATATCAAAAATGGAACAGAGAATATCACTATAGACTCTGCAGTCATTAAAAGTACAATAAAGGAATATTATCAAAAAATTTATACTCATAAATTTAACAATTTAAAAAGGACCAATTCCTCAAAAAACACAAACCACAAAGACTCAATTAGGATGAAATAATCTGAACAGTCTTATGATCATTAAAGAAACTAAATTTGTAATTAAAAAGCTCCCGAAAAAGAAGTGCTCAGGCCCAGATGGTTTCATTGGAGAATTCCACCAAATATTTAAAAAAGAATTAGCAACCAGTCACTAATATAAAAAAGAACAAACGATTGATCCATGCAACAGCTTTGAATAATCTCAAGGGAATCACGCTGACTGTAAAAGTCAACCCCCAAAAGTTAAATGCCATATGATTCTGTCTAGACAACGATCTTGAAATGACAAAATTATAGCGATGGAGACCAGATTACCGGCTGTCTAGGATCAGCAGCTAGGGGGAGTGGGGTGGAGAGAAGCCGGTATGACTATAAAAGGGCAACACCAGGGATCCTTGCAGCGACACAACTACTCCATACCTTGATTGTGTCAACGTCAATATCTGAATTGTGATATTGTACTTTAGTTTTCCAAGATGTTACCATTGGAGGAAAGCAGACGACGAGTACACGAGATCTCTGTATTATTTCTTACAATTGCACATGCATCTACAACTATCTCAAAATCAAAAGGTTAGTTTAAAAAAAATTGCATTAGTGGAACACAGCAAAATTTGAAGAAATGCTGTAGATTAAATAATAGTATGGTATAAATGTTAATTTCTTGATTTAAATAATTATATTGTGTTTATGTAAGAGAAAGTCCATGCTTTTAGGAATTACAAGCTGAAATATTTGGTAAGGGGAAAAATAAGTAATAAACAAAAATACTAAAAGAAAATATACAAGTGAAGAATTCTGAGCTTGGGCTAGGAAAGGAACTATTGAGCAGGTGTCAATAAATTTTATCATAAAACAAAGTATTGATAAATTTGATTACACTAAAATGAGGGACTTTTTTTTCTCGATTATTTTCCTTCATAAAAATTATATATATTTAAGGTGTAAAACATGACAAAATGATGATCTTCCATTCATTAAAAGACACTACAGGGGCTGGCCTGGTAGCATAATGGTTAATTTTGCACACTCCACTTTGGCAGCCCAGGGTTTGCAGGTTCGGATCCCGGGCGCAAACCTATGCAACACTCATCAAGCCATGCTGTGGCAGGCATCACATATAAAGTAGAGGAAGATGGGCATGGATGTTAGCCCAGGGCCAATCTTCCTCAGCAAAGGGGGGAGGATTGGCAACAGATGTTAGCTCACGGCTAATCTTCCTCACCAAAAAAAAGACACTACAAAGAAATATAAAATATTAAGTTACCATCTGGGAAAAGATGTCTGCATTCATCTAAATGATCAAAGAATTAGTATCTAAAGTGCATTGCAAATAAAAGATCGGCAACCTAATAGAAAAATGGGAAAAATTTATGAACAGAAATTTCACAGGAGCTAACATATAAATTGCCTATAAACAAAGGAGAACATGTTCAATTTAATTATTAATCAGAAAAAAGAAAATTAAGACCCAATAGGTAGCATATTTTATTCACTGGATTGGCAAAAATCAGGAACCCCAGCAATATCAAGTGCTGGATAGGATGTTGAGTAATGGAAACTCTGTTGTGGGTTCATAAACAGGTTCAACTAATGTGGAAAAGAATATGACATTATCTAGTAAACTCCTCATCCCCAGGGATCCAGCAATTTCACTCCTAGATTAGTATCCTACAGAAAATCTTGCATATGTGCACCTGGAGACATACAAGAATATTCATGGAAGCACTGTTTATTAGACCAAGACTTTGGAAACAACCTGAAAATGCATTAATAACAGAACAGAAATGTGAATATCGTGAAATGAACTATAGCCACATATAACAACATGGAAGAATCTTAGAAACAAAACAGCAAATGAAAAAAACAAGTCATAGAAGACTGCATACATAGTGTATAACTTACATTTATGTTATATAATATACATGTGTATTTATATATAATATTAAATATACACATACATTTAAATTAAATATTACTTGAACATATTTATTTTTTAAATTGTGGTATATTTAATCCACAAATCCATAGTTTTTCATAAAATGTTATTTTGAAATACAGATAATGTAGATATTGATATTGACTCAAGTTTTCAAAATATCGTAAAATGCTGAGCATCTTTTCATTGCAATCTCATTTTTGTATTTTCTAAATGATCCATGCTTATGCATAATTCGAAATAAATAGTAGAGTTAAAAACCTGAGAATAATATTTCTTAATTGCTTTTATTCTGATTCACATTTACTTCTTTTCATGTAAGCAGAATACATTTAATGTAATAGTGGATTTCTATTTATTTGGTTTACTACTCAGAACAGAATTATAAACAAGTTGGCTTAATCCTTATGTATTTAACATGGCACAATATTATAAATAAATATTTTGATTAATGTATTTCCTCAGGAATTTTTAATGAATTATTTTAACTGCTGAAGACATTCAATATTATTATCAAATTATAGGCATTAAAATTCCCATTTGCACATGGTTATAGACTTTTTAATTCCTTCCATATTTCCAAGCTCTTAAAAAATGCAAAACTAATTTCCTTTTTAGCAACTTTAAGTCTGATAAATAAAATGATTTAGCATCCTAATCTAATATTCACAATTACTGGCAAAATACCAGATCCTTGGTTGATGCCAAAGTCACAATGATACTTTAAGTAAAAAATAATAATAACACCTGTATAGTAATATTCAAGAATATTGTACAAAATGCAACTGCATGTGCTCTAATAAATGCAAGATAATCAGCACTAAGTGCATTTAACTGTTCTTGAAGTGCACCATTAGCATGGCCAGTGTGTTGCCACGAACATGATGACATACACTGTCACGGAGTTGAAGAAATCCCTTCTCTCCTCTTCCCCTTTTCATATCATTATACTTAAACCATAATCTATTTTACATAATCACTGGCAAATGTCATAACAAAGATATTAAATGATTCTAATTTTTCATTAAGTGAATTAAAATATAGAATAGGCCCTAAAGAAGTTAAGAGTTGTGTACAATTTTTATGAACATAAGAGCACTTTCAAACATGTAACAGGAAACATGCAAACATTAGAACCAGAAGTAGCCACCACAACACTTTAATCTCCATATCTCTGTTTGCACATAACTTGAATTAGGGAAACCCTACCTACAATCATAGAAAGCCACTGCTAAATTATTCAAGCCATTATATACTGAAATGACAAAAATGGTTAAAAGGAATGAATCTAGAAGTCCTTAACAGACTTCTATCCAGTGTTACCTATATCATATTTAACAAAAAAGAATAAAATGGAATTAACAATTAAGTATTATTTATCTTCTGGTAAGTAACCTTTGCTGCAGAAACACTACCATTTCATAAGTATTGATTCTGTAATAGGCACTGCGCTAG